GTCTTTGGTTAAACATCCTTCAAAGAAAAAACCCCCCAAAAAAAAAAAAAAAAAAAAAAAAAGGAAAAGGAAAAGAAAACCTGGTTATATTCACCTGAGCATTAAGGTTGAGGGAATCAGACTTACATAACCCACATTCCAGATTAAAGTTTATTGGTCCATTTTTGAATGAACTCATTTAAATGTTTTTAAATAAACTAGCCTATTTAGTGAAAGTGAAATATATACCCCACAGATATTTAATATATCTTTGCTACAAGTATTCTCAAGAAATACCTCTATTTTCTTTAACTCCTAATAGAAGATACTGTTAAAATGTTTTCTGCATAAGGAATCTTAAGTGTAACTTAAGGGTGAAATTTTCAAAAAGCTATAGAACTGAGTTTATAATCAGTAATTCATAGATTTTGATTTAAAACATAAGATAGGAATGGATTCTTTAAAGCAAAATATTTCATAAAAATGTTTAAAGGTGGGATTAAGCAACCTCAGAAATACATGTCAAGGCATAACTGAGCACATAACATGTACATGAAATAGTGTTTCTACTAGCTAGAACATAGCCATGTATAGTCCAACTCGAAGAAAAAATAAACTCATGAAAGGAAGAAGATTCAGAAATACAGAGCAGTAGGGAAAAACTGTACTTATTAACTAAAAATGGCAAAATCCCTTCTTGAAGGTGTACTCATCATGGATTCCAGTAATCCAATCTTTTTATCAATTTTGGTTCCTATGATAGTCACCTAGTTTACATATACATGACAAGATAGGGGTCAGAAGGTGGCACAGAGGTTACTGTAGCTAGATTCTACATGGCCAACCTCATGGTTCAAGTCCTGGACCTGGTGGCTTCAGAAACATGCCAGGTGCATATGCATGCATGCCCAAAATCTGAACAGGAGAACAGCGGAGAAAGGATCATGGCACAGCCAGCACCCTGGGGGGTCCTTTCTCACTTTACCTCTCTCTACATATCTCTCTCCACCAAACACACATGTCCTATAGCAAAAACTGGGGGAAAAAAAAAGCCACATTGAAGTTTATGCTTATTAGACATTGCCCATCGATAACTCTTAAATTTCTGAGTTAGGGATAGCTTAAGCTCCTACATGAAAGCTATCATTCAAGAATTACTCTGCGTTATTAGTTTGAATTATTCAGGAAATGTTATTCAATTGATTTTTTTTTTCTATTGGCCTGAATGTTTACTCAAAAAAAAAAAAAAAGTTAAGAGTTGTAATTTCTCTAACACTTAGTTATAGAAACACAGTATAACATCTAGTTTTACTATTTATACATATTTCCCTTGTTTTGGAAACAATATATTTCCATTGAATGAGAATCCTTTTTTAAGAAAAAGAACCATTCCTGAAAATTGTATTATTCTATATAAGTGTTTTTATCTTTTTTTCACATAATAAAATATTTGGAAAACAGACTAAATGAAATAAGTGGTTAAAAGCAAAATTCTTATTTTACTTGGTAATTGAAATAATTCTCAGAAATACTATTTCCTCTTTATTTTTCTCCTAATGATATAAAATATGGGATGAACCTTGCTAGTTGGCTCAGGGCAATGCTACTGCTCCCTTACTTCCTTTCTTCCTTCCTTTCTTCCTTTTTTTTTAAATTCATGGTTGAGTGAATGCACACATGAGAGAGTGAGGGAGAGAGAGAAAAAAGCACCCTACACAGAACTTAGCACACCACAATCTCCTCTTCTGGTCCTCCAGCCTACCAGAGTCCTGGGTGTGTTTTCTAGCAGACCGGACCAATGTCTCAACCACAGCAAGCATATGCTTCCAGCTCTGTGAACCAGCATGCTACTGTCTGCACCACAGAAATTAGATCCGCGGCAACATTCTTGAAATGAGTTCTTCACTTGGCTTCAAGGACCTCACATTCCACAAATTTTTCTTCCTACTTCTTAAGACAAAATATTCTTAGTCTTCTGGGGGATATTCTACTACAATAAATATTACTTAAATATTGATGGTCCCCATTGTCTCTCAACTGTTTTTCTTCTCTCTCCAACTTTCCTCTAGGTAGTCGAATACTAAATATTCAAATTTTTAAAGAATTATTATTTCTTTATCTATAGTCATATCCTATTGTCCAGATTCACCTTTCCTACATCTTCTAAATATCTCCACTCAGATCATCCAAAGGCTTCTCCAAATCAAGGACATGCTAAATGAAATTACTGTTTGTCTTTCTCAAAAACATGCTGCTTTATCGATATTGCTTATTTAATGGTACCACCATACATCTTGTTGCCTAAAAACAAAACTTTCGGAGATTTCTCTTCAAATGATGCTGTTTTTCTCTTTCTGCTTTTTTAATTGCCAAAGGGTGTGTGGCCTCACCAGAGAAGAAAGAGAAAGGAAGTCCTCCTCTGATAGGATGCGTCTTGCTGCAATCCTTTTATCCAGCATGTCTCCATCCCATCAGGATCTGGAACATGCGCACATGCCTGGTGATATTCAAGCCACTGGGACGGCACTTGAACCATAGTGGGCCATGTGAAATCCAGCTTTCTAAGCGCAGCCCTTAACTGCTATTTTTGACAGAGCATTTCCTCTTCTTCCTCTTGACCTGTACTACCCTAAAAGTGAGAATCCAGTCCCTCTCACAAACTTATTTACATTTCTAGTAGGTTTCCCTGTCTTCAGGCACATTCTCCTCAGCTCCACTCCTCCACGCCCAGTTAAGGATCCCAACAGCCGTCAAGAGTTCTCTCTGTTTTTTTAATGTTAATTATCTCTGCTCATAATCTTTTGATTATTCTCCCTACAGCTAAAGGACAAAATGTAAACTTTCTGAACTCATATAGAAGATTCTCTATGATTTAACATCCCCGGGTAATTACCAACCAATCTCTCACTCATAACTTACGGTGTAGCCACATGGGTAGAAAAAAAGGATTCCATTTTCTGTACTGTAGCTTTGATCATGATGTTCTTTCATGTTAGAAATTTCATCACTCTTCTGTCCACCTCAAACTTTACTTACAAATTTCAGCTCTTTTGTGACAGCTGTCCTGATTCACCATGGCACATTTGTCACACCTTGTTTGGACTCTAAAATATTCTCAACACATGTCAATGGTCCCTTTTCTCACTCACTTGCAATTACTTTTATATATGCACAAATCCTACACTAAGCTTTGCATTTTCCATAACAGTATTTTCAACACTTAATAGTGCCTCAATAAATAACTGTCACCAAAACAAAACGAGCAAACAAATTAATGATATTAATTACAGAAAATTCTAAGTTTGGTGATTATAACTTAAAACTGGCCATGCATAAGAGAATAAGGACATATTTTTACTTTGTTTATGCTTAAAATACATAATACCTTAGAAGAAAATTCCAAATTGTAGCATTTTTTTGGCAATTGAAATGCACTCATTTTTATGAATATGAAAGTTAAATAAATAGTTTTACAATGAGGCATTATAACACATCAACTGTCAGAAAAAAATTAGTTATAAATTACATTTCAACTACTGAAAACATTCCTAAAAATTTGTCTTTAGGTATTCAATTTTAAGAGGAAATTCTTAAAGAAAGAACTATTTAGACTATCCTGGAAATGACTCATTTTAGTGGAATTTTCTTCAGAAAGTGTACCTGGTATAATATTTGATTCCTATGGTAGCAGCATGTTTCATGGCAAACTCTGGACTCTTTTTTTCATCCTTATAAATTATAGAGCTAAGTACAAAAAATGCTTAAGTAAAAAGAAACATTTTATACTATTAATTTCTAGTTCAATAGCCCACAGCCATTCTTGGAAAGCTCACAGTTTTAAAAAATAAAACAGATAAATGTTAAGAAAGAAAGCAAGTCTTAAAAACACTTGAGATCATTTAGTCTCTGGGAAAAAATTAAAACTATACAACCTTCATGGGTAATTTTTAATCAAGCAAAATGTTGATTCTACCATATCAAAAAGAAAAAGTCTATTATTTTGGGGGAAGAACTTGAAGGATAAATTGTGAAATACAACTCAAAGATATTCAGCCTTAAACCAAAAATGCACCCTGAAGCTTCTCACCTGGCTGGATGTTTTCTCTTATGATGGTTACATGGTTATCTCGATCTGGTCGTGTGTGTTCGTGCCAAAAGCCTATCACATGGCCCAATTCGTGAACGACTATTCCAAATTTATCACAGTTCTTGCCAATAGAGATTGCCTGAGGTCCGTTTCCCCGCCGACCTACATAGGAGCAGCATCTGGAATACAGTAGAAAGTGGAGATGGAGGTGGACAGTGTGATGCTAGATGAATCACAATATGGTGGAAGTTGTGTAAGGAACTGTGAAGAACTATAAATTCTAGCATTTTCAGAGGCAGATCTGCCTTTCATTAACATGTTTCATTCCTGTTCCCCTTTAAAATTTACATACAAAAGGGAGGCAAAGCATTAATGGCACAAAGAGGTGTGGTATTATCTGTTGGAGATATTTTGTAGTTTTATCAACAGTACTAGGGAGAAATGTTCACCTGTTGAAATATCCATTTTGTAAGACAAATAATAATGTGATTGAATGTGTGGAAGAAAATGAAAAGGAAAAAATAAAAGAAAAAAATAAACAAACAAACAAAAAAATGTTTCCAAATAATGAGTTCAAGTGCCTTTGCAATTATATTCTAGAAGACATGCCTCATCTTTATAACTATTCGAGAAGACACATCATAAAATAATTATGATGATGACTGAAGCACTATTATGTATATGTAGGTTAAGCTTAAGATACCAATGCACATTTATTTCAAATGTTACTTTTATCCTTGCTATTCATGTTACTTATTTAGGTAACTGCTTTTTTAAGTTTGGTTAATCCAATATTATTTCAGTATTAAATATAAAAGAAAGTATATTTATCCTCTTTGAGAAAAACAGAATTAAATTTATTCAGGAAAAATGCTGTTTAATCAAAAAAGAAATTCCTTTTCCTATTTATGCAGTAATGTTTTTCTTTTATAGAAAGAGATTTTTGCTATAGAGCGCATGTGCTTGCTGAAAAGACAGAGAGACAGAAAGCAAGAAATTACCCCTCCGGAAGGATGGCCATACTGCAATCCCTTGTTCTACATTCTTCTCTCGAGATCTTGGGCACACACTTTTACATGCCTGGCATGAGTTTTAAGCCACTGGGTTTGGGATTCAAACCACAGTTGACTACATGGGAGTCAAGCGATGTAACCATTATGCCATCTGCTGGTCCCAGATAATTATTTTTAATAAAAGAAGAAAATTTTTAAAAGAAGTAAATTTAGAAAACTAGTTTAAAAGGTAATTAAGCTTGGGGCCGGCAAGTGGCATGGTGGTTAAAGGCACTGGACTCCCACATGGCCGACCACAGTTCAAGTGTCAGACGTGGCGACTTCCTTTCTCACTTCCTCTCTCTCTCTCTGTCTCTCTCTGATCAAACCAAAAAATAATAATGATAATAATAATAAATAAAGTTAAATAAAATAATTCTTTTAAAAAAAAGGTAATTAAGCTTAATGTTCACTGGTGTTAGGGACTGAATGTTTATGTCTCCCCACTAAAAAAATTCATATATTGAAACCTAATCCTCATAAAAATTTTATTACTTTTTATTTATTCAATCGTTCCATATCATTATAGCTTGCACAATTAATTTGTCCAGCATACATAGACTGTATATTAGTCCAGTTAAACATATTATCATACACATTATCATCAACAGATGAAACCTAATCTTTAAGGTGGAGACCTTGGGAACGTGATTAGGTCAGAAGTTGGGATCCCTGATGGCTTTATTGCTCTTATTAAAGAGATCCCAGTGAGCTCCCTTGACCCATTCTACTGGTGAGAACACAGCAAAAACACAACCACTTACAGTAAACAGACACCAAATCTGGTGTGCTCAGCCTCCAGAACTTAAAAGGTAATTTTTCATTGTTTAGAAGCTACCCAACCTCTGGTATTCTTTTATAGTAGCCTGAATAGACTAAAAAGCTAGTGGAAAAAAACTGATTAGGCTTATATGATTTGTGTCAAATAGTCAGGCTAAGAGTTGAGTGTCACTTTTTATTTCAACTCCAACACAGTTTCCTGGACTGCCAGATTGTGAAACATCCAGAAAAATCTTTCTGCAATTTTTTAAATCAATTTATTGATATCTATAGATATTCAATGATGCTTTCAAATTCAAAATAAACTTCCCTTTAGTCACTGTGTGTGTATGAATGCATGCATATTTGTGAGTGCAACAATCCAGAATATTCTTGCACACACTCATGCATAAGTGAGCACACAGGACACTCACTATAAAATAAGTTTTAAATGGTACAATATTGTAGTAGCTACAATTACAAATGTAACAAAAACCACATCTAAATTTTTAATAATTAGAGTTGAAATTAAAATAGCTTCACTCTAGGATCACCTTTCTGGACATCAATGCCCAGTGGATGGCACTAAATGGAGTCATTCCTGTGTAATGATGTTTCTGTTTCAGGGGAAAATAGACCATTAGATGACAATGGCTCCATTAGATTATAATGGTGCTGAAAATTTCCTATCACCCAGTAACACTGCAGCTGTCATAATGCTGGAGCCTAAAACATGACTCACGAGTTTGTGGCGATGCTGGTGTGAATGAACCTACAGCACTACCAGTCACATAAAAAAACCCACCCAATTATGTATAATATGTAATATTTGATAATGATAATAAATGACTATGTTACTGATGTGTGCATTTACTATATTGTACTGTTTATTGTTTTTTGTTTGTTTGTTTGTTTGTTTTTGAGAGGTTTTCACTATAGGGCGCGTGCGCTCGCCAGACAGACAGAGAGAGACATAGAGACAGAAAGCAAGAACCGCCCCCCCCCCAGAGGGGATGGTCACACTGCAATCCCTTCTCCTCCATTTTCCTCTCAGGATCTTGGGCATGCACGCACATGTGCCCAGCGTGAGTTTTAAGCCACCAGGTCCGGGACGCGAACCGTGGTCGACTACGTGGGAGTCCAGCGACATAGCCATTACGCTAACTGCTGGTTCCCCTGTTTATCATTTTTACAGTATACTCCTTCTACCTGTAAGACTAAAAGACTTAGAATGATAAGCTGTGTCACACTGGCGGGCTCATACATCTCCTGTTCAGGATGACATCACTTTCTCTTCACTTGATTTCATCTCTGATTGTTTCATTATGGCTATTCTCATGGAATAAATGTGGAGGTAGAAGACAATGTTATTGATGAACCTGACCCTGAGTAGACCCAGGCTAATGTGTGTATTTGAGTCTTGGTTTTTGTTTTGTTTTGCTTTGTTTTTTGCTTTTTTGAGAAGTTTTTGCTAAAGGGCACGTGTGCTTGCCAGAAAAACTGAGAGAGACAGAGAGACAGAAAGTGAGAAATCACTCCCCGGGGGGACGGCCACACCACAATCCCTTCTCCATTCTCCTCTTGGGATCTTGGGCACAGATGCACATGCACCTGGTATGAGTTTAGCCACCGAGGCTGAGACTGAAACCATGGTCGACTACATGGGAGTCCAGCGACATAGCCATTATGCCAACTCCTGGTCCCTTGAGTCTTAGTTTTTAACAAAAAAGCGTTAACAGTGAAAATAATGATAATAAAGAAATTTTTAATAGAAAAAAGTTTATAGAAAAAGGATGTAAGGAAAATTGTTTTTGTACATCTCTATAATGTGTTTATATTTTTAAGTAAGAATTATTATAAAATAGTGAAAAAAGTTAAAACAGTAATATTACAGAAAAGAATAATTATAAAATAGTGAAAAAAGTTAAAACAGTAATATTACAGAAAATTAGATTAATTTTAGACTGAAATTTATTTTTATTATTTTGCAAGTGTCTAGTGTTTATAACGTCTCCATTATAGTGCAGTAACATGGTAGACCTTCACGTTCACTTATCACTCATTCACTGACTTACTCAGAGTCACCTCCAGTCCTACAAGGTCCATTCACATAAATGCCTTATGTAAGTGTACCATTCTGTATCATTTATATACTATTTCTACTATACCTTTTGCATGCTTAGATTCATAAATATTTACATTGTGTTACAACTACCTACAGCATTCAGTATAGTAACATGCTATGTAAGTCTCTAATTTAGGAACAGTAGGGTCGACCATATAGCCCAGATGTGCAAAACGTAGATAATAGATCTAGGTTTTTTTTAATGCACTCCATGAGGTTTGCAGAATGGTGCTACTGCCTAATGACACATTTCTCAGAATGCATTCCTGTTGTTTAGCAAAGTCTGCTTGTCTTGAATGGTTGAGATTCTCAGTGCACCAGACACTGCAGGACACCTTTTCTGATTTATAAAGTTTAAAAAGAAAATTATTGTCCAATGATTAAAAGGAATTTCATTATTTTAATTTCTGGGGTAAGGACACTTAATAGTTTCACACACACACACAAATATGAACCCTAGTCCCAACTTCACTGGCTTTTTATTTTCAAATTATTTCTGCAGGCTTTTAATGCCTAAGCATTTTACTTCATTCTATCCCAGTTAGATAAATAATCTGTACTTATTATGAATCTGTGAATAATAATATGCCTAATATTATTAGACTTAATTAAGCTTAATAAATCAGTAACAATGAGAAAAGTAACTGGTGGCAGGAGGGGAGTGGTGGGCAATAAAATGCAGTTTAGTCCGAATGTAATCTTTATTATTTATTTATTTAATAATGTGTTCTAGGGTCAGCCACTGGTATAGTGGATAAAGTAGCTGATCCTACAGAGTCAACAGCACAGTTTGAGTCCTGGATTTGGTGGCATGAAAAATATGCTGGATGCATGTGTGTGTATGCCTGAAATCATTAAAGGTGGGGAGAACGGAGGAGAAAAGGTTGCAGCATGACAGTCCCCATGGAAGGTGTAGTTTCCCCTCTCCCTCTCCCTGTCTAACTCTGCCAAGTGCACACACTCTTTAGCAAATTAAAAATTAAATAATTTGTTTAAATCCTAGACTTTATTACATACTTGGACAATTACTTGTTAAATATCCCCAAAAAAGCATTAGATGTAGAAACACTCAAACTTTACAAATTTTAGAGAAAAGTAAATGGAAATATTTGCTACTTTAAAGCAATGGTAGTGAATCGAAATATCTGAAGATTACATAGCAATTAAATTGCCCATATTGAGTCATTCTTGCTGGTTATATTCAGAGAAGAAAGCACTTTTCAAATCAAAATCTGGGAGACCA